TAACTAATCAAAGGTTTGTAATTTTTGAAGCTCCACAATTCATTGAACAACAAAAGTGAATACCTAATCCTTTAAATATATAAATATGCTTATAATACTGATAAATAATATTTTCGCATAAGGATAAATATTAAAAAATAATAATTTTTCTTAAAAAAAAATACTAAATTTGTTCAAAAATTAATCTTTAATTTTTTACGATATTTTTTTAAAAAAATGTTATAATTTCTTCTTTACAGGATGATAAAATATACATCTATTTTAAAAAAAATTGTTTTTAAATATAAATATATAAGTTTAAATTGAAAATACAAAATAACTGAAAAATTTATTAACAGTTTGGAAGGGCATAACATCAGTTTCAGTTACTAACACTGGTGATGTATCACCACTATGCTAAAAGAATTGAACATGAATGAAATAAAAGTATTCTTGAATAGTACTGTAGATAAATAGATCTGTTTACGACGAACCAAGTCCCTAATATTTTAACCTGTATGACAAGCCCAAACTTCAGTTATGTACTATTGAATGAGAGGACCAATTGAACTTTACTACTGATTAATCTTCCTTTGTTTAAATTGAAGAGTCAAACAATATTAATAAAACATTATACTTTCAAAAACAAATATTCTCTAGTATATTTAATTATCAATATGTTATTAGTTCTATGTTTATTTTACCTCTTAGATATTGTTCAGATAAAATTGTGACATAATTTCAGTAAAAGGGTTTTGGACAGGACGGTTTAAACCGTGGATTAATCCATTCTGTCCTAAACCTTGCCAACCCTGATACATAAGTATGAATAAATTTGGAATAAAATCTTTATAAATTTGGAATAAAATCTTTATAAATTTGGAATAAAATCTTTATAAATTTCTTGAATATATATTTTATAAATATCAATAAAAATGCGTAGGCAACATTTTTAAGCATCTCTCACACATCGCAAATTTCTCAACATCTTATAGGGTAACCTAACCAGTAAATGAACACTTAAGCTTAGCTTGCCCTTAAAAAAAAATTATAAAAATCTCACAAATTGTAATTTTAGCTAAATGACAGTCTCGACATATTTGTTATTAAATGCAAATTATGTAAAAAAAAAAATTTAGATAACTTACATAATATTGTTTTAAGCTTTTGGTGGCTTAAATAATAAGTAGTAAGATAACCAAGTGAAGGAACAGTTCTTACCAGTGAATAAACACTAAATTTTCCAGTGAATGAACACTTAATTTAGAGAATGTTTGATGCTCGTTAGGAATCCATAGGCCACACAAATGCCTAAAAACAAGATTTTTCTTGGAATTACTACATATAACCACAGTTAACGTGGAAAATGTTACTTTTTTCAGGCATGGAATGGAAAGTAAAATGCGTTTGAATACATAATTTAAAAAAATGTTTTTCATTTTTTTTTCTCACACTAAATTTTGAGCGTTTATCATTGTGTAATCCGGTGATGTTTTTATTATTATTATAATTAGATCACTTTTTTGTTTACTCTTTTCCCTATATTTTTTAAGCTTTTTTAAAAATCTTTTTAAGTATTTTTCTTCTCTTCGTCATACTTTCTGCTTTAATTTTTTTCCCCAGCTCATTCAATCTCTTTAAATTTTCGTTCTTTTTCTGAAGTTAATGCAAAAAAGTAATTTATTTCTTTTTCTTTTGATTTAACCTTACTCTTTTTTCCAAATCTTTGGCCAATGTAAATGTATCTTCGAAATTTCTTTTGATTTTTCCAGTACCATTACTAGAATTCCTCACTGGATAATAAATGAGAAAAAGGAGTTTCGAAGTTTGAGTAAAATCCATCTCCCATTGACTTATATCTAGTGGATCTTCAGCAGTACTTACCATTTATTTATGGAACCAAATTTTTTTGCAACTAACAATGCCTCAAGAGGGCTTATCTCAAAATCAGTTTTCAAGATACTTTCATTATCAATGTTAGTTGTATCAGCTTCAGTGCCAAAATTTGATTAACCAAATTTTCTTTTTGAAATAAATTCTTCAATATTGAGAAAAGCACAGGGTATTGGATATTTGGGAGATAAAATTTTTCTGTCAATGTTCCTTTAAAAATTTGCAACATAACTTGTGAGATTTCCTTCTCAAGCTTCTGAAGAAATAGAGCATCGTTACTCTCGAAGCATGTGTTTTGTTAATAAGCTGTCTTGCTCATTAACTCTTGGTGTCTGTCTCACATGCATTTGTTAAAGTAAACGTTTTCTACATCCAATGGAAAAATATCGCATTTCATAAAAGCATTTTAACTTCATCAGTTGATGCCTTAAAATCTTATTTAAAAATGGATGTAAAATTTTCCCGGCATATGTTTTACAATTATTTTGTTTTCAAGATCTAACGGGAGAGTTCCATGAATTAGGTACTAAACCAGAAAATTTGTTTTGATGAACAAAACTTGCTCAGTTTCAAATTGATATGAGATTTATATCTATCCAGAAGAAGCAAAATAGGGAATTTGATAACATTTTTAATTAGCCCTGGGTAGAAACATCTGCAATATATTTGTAAAATATTGCTGCGGTCATCGTTTCATTTCATGAATCGCTTTTTCCAATGAAATATATAGTAGTGACTGATTCTGTAATATCTCAAAGAATTCTTCAGTAAGGAAAAACTACCAATGGAGGTACTTTTTTCTTTCCTAGGTACTTCAGAATATAAATCCTTATAATTTTTTGGGCCAAAGATTTTCCCCGTTTAAGGGCAGTATTCAACTCTTGTTTCGTTCGCATTGTAAATGCAATCACTTTCTAAAAGGGTGCCAGAGCTACTTCCCTCCTAAAGATTCTTTTAAAGTTCTTAAAACCAGTATTTCGAATATTATTCTCTAAGGGAAGTTTTGCCTTTTGAAATTATCTTCGCATTGCACTGAGTTATCGGTGGATGTC